TTAAGGTATATGCAGCGATCGACAGGATTCTCTCGGAAGCCATTTGATGTTATCACTTGATGAAATTTTAAGTACCACTGTCTGGAAGCCTGCTTGAGACCATATATTGACTTTTTCAATCTGCAGACCAGATCTCCCTTAACTGCAAACCCTTCAAGCTGCACCATAAATATTTCCTCATTCAGATCTCCATTCAAGAATGCCATCTTGACATCCATCTGATGGAGCTCAAGATCAAAATGGGCGACGAGAGCAAGAACTATCCTGAGAGAATCTTTCTTAGATACTAGAGAAAAAGTGTCGACGTAGTCAATCCCTTCTCTCTGCTTGAAACCCTTGGCCACTAGCCTGGCCTGGAATCTCTCAATATTTCCTTCAGAATCCCTTTTGGTATTGAAGACCCATTTGCATTCCATCGCTCTAGCTTTGTTCGGCAAAGGTACCAACTCCCAAACAGAGTTCTTTTCCATTGACTGAAGCTCTTCTTCCATAGCCTTTAGCCAATCAGCTGCATGAATGCTGTCTCTAGCTTGTGAGTATGATGAGGGATCATCGGATTCTGGATCAATGCATCCACTTTCTTGAAGATAGACCTCATAGTCATCAGGTATGGCAGATCTTCTGACTCTAGAGGATCTTCTAACAGGTTGTGGCTCTTCTGCAGGTACAAATGTTTCTTGAACTGGAGGAGGAGGTGGAAAGCTATCTGGAAGAGTAGGAAATCTAGAGATGACATCTAATAGCGGAAGCGACTGCTCATCTTCTAAAACTTCCTCAAAACTCAGACCACGATGTTCTGAAGAAGCATTAGGGTCTTCCAGAAACTCAGCATGTTGTGTCTCGAAGAATTGGGTAGACCGAGAAGAACAATAGAACCTGTATCCCTTAGATCTTGCAGGATAGCCAACAAAGCGACACGACACTGTTCGGGCTTCTAATTTCTTAATGTCTGGATTATAAGGTCGCGCCTCTGCTGGACATCCCCAAACACGTAGATGACCAAGACTAGGATCCCTGCCAGTCCAAAGCTTGAACGGGGTCTCTGCTACCGCCTTACAAGGAAGACGATTGATGATATATACAGCTGTCTTCAATGCCTCACCCCAAAAACTTTCAGGCAAATCTGAATGACTCATCATGCTGCGAACAGCATCTTGATAAGTACGATTTCTTCTTTCAGCTACTCCATTTTGCTGCGGAGAACCTGGGAGAGTGTACTGAGGAACAATGCCTTGTGACCTCAAATACTCAATGAAGGGACCATGATTTGTGCCGTCCTGATCGCTTTTACCATAGAATTCCCCACCTCGATCAGAACACACAGATTTAATCTTTCTTTCTAACTGTTTTTTCAACTTCAGCTTGAAAGATCTTGAAAACATCCAGTGCCTCATATTTGTGGTGAAGAAGAAAAATATAGGCATAGCGCGAAAAATCATCTATGAAAGAGATAAAGTATCGCTGACCACCATGAGAGGGAGTGGGAAAAGGTCCACAAATATCTGTATGAATGAGGTCAAGGAGACCTTCACTCCCGGAGGATTCAAATTTTCTCAATTTAGCCATCTTTGACAGAATTATTCTCGAAAACAAAGCTATAACCAGATCCAGAAAGTCTAGAAACTGAAATAAGATTCCTTCTCATAGAAGGTACGTAGAAAGTGTCTGATAAAACTAAGGAAACTCCAGAATCCAAGCGCAGACTGAAAGTCCCAACGAGCTCCACCTTCATAGGCTGTGAGTTTCCCAAAAAAAGCTGCTCATTTGCCCTTGCCTTTCGACTGTGGATTATTCCATGTGATGAAGTTGAAATGTGTACAGAGGCACCAGAATCAATCCACCAAGAATTTGAAGGAACATCAACTAAATTTGTTTCACAACAAACATGAACTAAATCCCTACAAACTGTATTGTACTGTCTCGCTCTAACAGATTCCTCATTCTGCTTCTGGATAAACTGTCTGTCCATCTGTATTAAACCATGGACATATAAATCAAATGAGACCTTTAATTTAATTAACTTTAATATTTCCACATCCAATTTAGGGTTAGAATGGATGGGTCAGAGTGTTTTACGTATGCAACCTTCCACTCTGCGGGACAGGCGGGTGCATCATCTCATCACACCTTTGGGCAAGTGATTTGACATGCTATTCGCCCCCCAAATGTGATATATAATCACCTACAGAACTAGCCTACACAGTGTCAGTTTGATTTGAACACTTCCCCCCAAATGTGATATATAATCACCTACAGAACTAGCCTACACAGTGTCAGTTTGATTTGAACACTTCCTCACCTTTGGGCAATAGGGTTATTCTCCTCTCACTGACATGTTTCAACTATCCTGCACCACTTAAAATGTAGAGGATTTCCCAGACACCTTTGGGCAAGACTAGTAGTCCACCCACAGATAAGTGCAACCTTCCAGTCCAAATGAGAGTAAACTCAACCTTAGAAAATTAGGGTATTATAGGTTGGTCACCTTTGGGCAAGACACTAACCTACTCTACCATAATTTCTAAGTGACTGTTTTACTGATCTTCCTTAACCCCATAGGTTGATCTAATACTGTAGTCCGTTTTATCATGAACCCAAATATTTACCCCACCTGAATTAAGGATATAATCAGAGTAAATCAATTATCTTTATGTGCATACAAAAATCTTTATGAATTGTCCAAATTTCTGTATTAAAACTTTATAAAATTAAAATAAAAATTGTATAGTTGAAAAGAACACAAAATGATCTTTCCAACGACGTTATATAACACAATTAATAAAAGATATTTAATTATACTAATTAATTAATTATAACCCTAATAAAAAAACCTAACTCTAATCCCACGACCCAAGACCGGCCGCCTTCACCCAAAACCCTCCGCGGCCCGAGTCCATGGCCATGGCTGCAAGATCTAAGTTCTAGATCAAGGGTATAGTTGATTAAATAATAATAAAAAAAGTTCCGGACAAAATCAACTATGCCAAAGATGAAAAAAGTTCAAGGGTATAGCCATGGCTGCAGTCGTGATATTTTAACTTTCCAAAGATGAAAAATCAACTATACCATTAAGGATCATGTGCAGCAAAGATGAAAAATCAAGATTGACCGCTGCCATGATGAAATCAAAGTTGTCCGCAGCAAAGATCGGGTGCAATTTGACGGCAAACAAAAGTTTTTTTTTTAAATTAATCCGAAAAAAAACTTTAATTCTAGATCAAAAATTCATGCACAATCTGTGCTCTGATACCACTGTTGGATAATTTAACGATCTAGGCATAAAAATTAAACTAGAAAATAACAGATTAAATTACCGTTCACCGTCGAAAGATAATGGAAGTCTTCTCCTCTCTCCTCACGTAGCCAATGATGGGAATTAGGTCTCTTTTCTGCTTACGGTTGAGAGGAGGGACTCCCACCCTTTATATAGATATTTGTGATTAACCCTACCCATCATGGTTTAATCACAACCGTGGGATTACACTCTGGTCAATCCTATCCCTTAAATATTCAAGATAACCACCCAACTTGTTAAACATGAAACTGTCTAACCAGACCATGTGGTTAGCATCCTGATCCTAACTTGAATCAATGGCAACTTTAAATCAAATCCAAAATATAGTAGGTTGGGCCACATGGGTTTGTTGGATTAATCAAACCCAACACTCACTAGTAAAAGGATGCCCAGCCCCAACGGGTGTATAGAACCGTTGGGACTGGTTTAACTTGCCCCAACGGTTTAGACCGTTAGGGCAAGTTAATTTAGCCAAAACACATCTGGAGGGAAGTTTCCCCCCATATTTTCGTCAAATAAAAAAAAATTCAGAAACCCCTCAAAACCACCGTTCCCTTTCTCTCGCCCGTTCTCTCTCTCTTTTGCTCTTTCTCGATCTCTTGCTCTCTCTCATCAGAAACAAGAAATTACCACCGTTCTCTCTCTCGCGCCGCTGCTGTCGGAGTTCGCTGTCGTCGGAGTTCGCAGCCGCGCGCCGTCGAGCCTGCATCGAGCCCTGAACTAGGGTTTCTGTTCTCTCTCTCTCTCCGCTGCCGTCGGAGTTCGCTGCCGTCGGAGTTCACAGCCGCGCGCCGTCGAGCCTGCATCGAGCCCTGAACTAGGGTTTTTTGAACTCGCTGCTTCCGTCAGAGTTCGCTGCTTCCGTCAGAGTTCGCCGCCTCAGTCAGAGTTCGCCGCCGAATCCCATCAAAAAACCCTAAATCGGAGTTCTTCCTCATTTTCGCCCCAAATCCTCAGTTTACCGCTGCTTCCTCGGGTAATCTTTTCAAATTAACGCTAGCCTTGTTTATTTTAAGCTAATATTTTCTATATGGTCCCAATTGGCGTGCTATAGTTTGACTGAAGATTCAAAGTTTGTGTTTTACTTGAGGATCAATGGTCTTAGTGTGATATAGAAGAAAAAATAATTCATAAAACCTTTTTAAAATTTGCAAGATTGGGAGCTCTTTGCCTTTGGTTCTACTTTACAAGTCTGGTTGTCTTGTTGTAAAAATTTCAGGGTGGGGGGCAATCTGAAATAAATTATTATGCTTTGGTTGAGGAAGGGTGGAAAGGGGATACTATGTAGTAGTTGTTGGATCGTTGATGATTACCTGTTTCTAAGTGTTTAGGCTGTATGAGATACATTAATTGGTTGGTGATTGTTATGATACACGGATTCTGGTTATCTTTATTTTCAGCAGTTTATTATGCATGCGCAGCTTTTTTGTGACCTCTTGTGCATGTGGTGATGTCAATTTGAACTTGCAGTTCTTGCTGAGGTGAAATATTTTTGTTTCATCTTTGTTTAATGTTTACTGATTCTTTCAGGTCATGTTTAACCTGAGAGTTGTTTCATGAGAGGTTCTGACGATGGTTGTAGATATAATAGATCAGTGTGTCGGTGTTCTCCCTTGCAAGTTTTTGTGTGCCTTTTTTCCCCTCCTCTCCTGGCTTTGACTAACTTTGACTAATTTATCGCTAACTTTGACTAATTTAGGTTGGTATGGCACGTGACTATATCGGAGTTAAGGATTGGATGTATGTGAATCGTGAAAAACGCACAAAGCCTGAATTCATTGAAGGAGTTGCCTCTTTCATAAATTTTGTGCGTGAACACGATAGGATCCAATATGGGATGATTCTTTGTCCGTGCAGTCATTGTGGGAATAGGATGCATCGTAAGGAGGAAGATGTAGAACTTCACATTGTTAAGCATGGTTTTATTAAGGATTATACAATTTGGGTATATCACGGAGAAATCGTAGCTCCTAATATTGTCGATAATGAAGAAGAAGACAATGAAGAAAATTTATTTCCAGAAGAGGAGATGGAGGAAATGATAGAAGTTGCTTTTGGTGACTCCAATCATGCTGAAGATGATCATCCTTCCGGACAAGAACATGTAGATGAGTATGAGAAGTACATGAAAGATGCCAAAAGACCAATTTATGAGAATGCAAAATATTCCACACTATCATGGTTCGTTCAACTTTTCCAGATTAAATGCCTAAATAAATGGAGCAACAAGTCATTTACGATGCTTCTAAAATTCTTGAAAGATTCTATGCCTCTTGGGAACAATGTGCCTCAGAGCTGGTATGAAGCTAAAAGGATAATGTCAGATCTGGGTTTGAATTGTGAGAAGATTCATGCATGTCCTAATGATTGTGTGCTGTTCTGGAAAGAAAATTCTAAACTGAAAGAGTGCCCTAACTGTGGAGTTTTTAGATATAAGAAGAAAGCACATGCTAATAAGAATGACATACCAGTCAAGGTGGTACGATACTTTCCTGTGACACAGAGGCTGCAGAGGCTCTACAGGTGTAAGAAGACAGCGGTGGCAATGACTTGGCATGACCGTGCTATTCCAAGTGAACATGGTAAAATGAGTCATCCAAGAGATTCGCCAGCATGGAAGGATTTCGACAAGTTGCACACAATATTTAGTCAAGATCCCCGTAATATTAGGCTCGGATTAGCTAGCGATGGTTTTTGTCCCTTTAGTTTTAATGGCAATCCGCACAGTACATGGCCTGTTACAATGATGATATATAATCTTTCACCGTGGTTAGCGATGGATCAATCATACTTTCTGATGCCTCTTCTTATTGATGGGCCGAGTTCACCGGGCAACAATATCGACGTCTACCTTCGACCTCTCATCGATGAGTTACATTCTTTATTCGTTGATGGTGTAGAGACATATGATGCAGACAAAGGGGAAACATTCACAATGCGTGCAGCCTTAATGTGGACAATTAATGACTTTCCTGCATATGGAATGCTATCAGGTTATTCCGTACACGGTTATAAAGCATGTCCTTACTATCATGTCGATACATCATCGACATGGTTGCCCTTTAGCAAAAAAATCTGTTATTGCGGTCATCGACGTATGTTGGAAGAAGATCATCCTTATAGGGATGATGATGTTCACTTTGATGGTACTACAGAGCATAGAAAGGCTCCAGCCCCCCTATCCGGAAAGGACATACTTGCTCAGTGGAATGTTTATGGAAATATAACTTTCGGAAAAGTAAAGGAAAGACAGGAAAGACCACAAGGATGGAACAAAAAAAGTATTTTCTTTGAATTGCCCTATTGGGAGACAAATACCGTGCGTCACAATCTAGACGTGATGCACATTGAGAAGGGAGTATCTGAGCACATACTTAACTTGCTTCTTTGTAAAGATGGAAAATCAAAAGACAACCTCCAAGCTCGGAGAGATTTGCAGCACTTCAACATTAGAAAAGAATTGCATCCTGTACCTAAAGCTGGTAATCCGGGCAAATTTGTACTCCCTAATGCCGTTTATCATATGTCAAAATCAGAAAAAAAAATGTTTTTAGAGGTATTACATGAGTTGAAGGTTCCCACAGGCTTTTCAGGATCATTTAATAAGAAGATAAAGACTGTGAAAGGCAAGATCGATGGGTTGAAGAGTCATGATCACCATGTTATTATGCAACACCTTCTCCCACTATCCCTAAGGACTTCTCTTCCAGAATCCGTTGGTTTAGTGATCAATGAACTTTGCACATTCTTTAGAGAATTGTGTGCTAAAAATGTCGATGACAAGGAGCTAGAAAAGCTAGAGAAAGCGATACCTTTGATATTGTGCAAGCTTGAGAGGATTTTTCCACCGTCGTTCTTTGATATCATAATCCACTTGATTGTTCATCTTGCAAAAGAGGCTAGACTTGCAGGACCGGTACAATATAGGTGGATGTATCCTATAGAAAGGTAACTTTAAATTTCCATTTGATGCAATAGATATAATTTTTATCTTCTACATTATTGTGTTTAGTAATTTAATGTGAGTTTTTGTAGGTACCTTTTGACTCTAAAAAATTATATACGAAATAGAAATCGGCCAGAGGGTTCTATTATGGAAGGTTATCTCTTGGAGGAAGTAACAACATTTTGTTCCCGTTATTTGGACGAAAATATATAGACAAAGCTCAATAGACCTGTGAGTATTCATGACGGAACATATGGCAAACCAACTTACACGACAATGAGACTCACATTTATTAATGATATACATCGATTTATCATCCTCAATAGCATATGCCTCGAGGAAGTTAGAGAGTAAGTATGTTTTATATTAATTGTTATACGTATGTATATATAAAATAATATGATGTTAATGTTATAACAATTCATGTTGAGAACAGAATTAACAAGGATGAATTACGTGAAGAGCATCCTAATTGGAATGTTGAACGATTGGAAAAACATCATCATGATAATTTTTGTAGCTGGTTTATAAAATATGTAAGATTTTCTTTGTCAATATTTATGTGTCATTATCTTAATCTAAACTTGTATCTTTATATAATTACCACACAAACTGTTTTGTCAGGTCCAAGATCCAAATGTAGAATTAACATTGGATAAGGATTTGAGATGTCTATCTGAATATCCGAGCCGAGAGGTTGCATACTACAATGGATTTGGTGTAAGCGGGTACAAGTTTGAAATCAAGGAGAGAGAAGAATCTCGGACCACCCAGAATAGTGGAATTGCGGCTATTGGCACTGAAGGAATAATTTACTATGGGTATTTAGATAGAATACTCGGTATTCGCTATCCCGGAAGAGCAAAACTAATTTATTTATTCAAGTGTGTTTGGTATCATACAAGAACTGGACATGGAAAGTGGAGAGAAACATATGGGACTTGGAAAGATGAATATGGATTGACTAGTGTAAACACTAATCTTTTTGAGTTTGAAGATGAACCGTATATATTCCCGGAACAAGCATTTCAAGTATACTACTCAAAGTGTTTGAAACATCCTGGATGGAGTGTTGTTTGCCGATGGAAGCCTAGGAATACTTACGATGTCCCACAATTTGTAGATGTTGACATAGAGGACAATCCTGAGACAGATTCTGATGATGAAGGACTTAGATTGTTACAAGCTACTATTTCTATAGACCCAAATGAATCTCAGGTTGAGCATGAAGTTTCATGGGTTCGGAATGATTTTGAACATGAAATCATTGTAGACATTCCTACAACGTCTAAGGAGTCTGTAAAAAGAAAAAGGTAGTAATCACAAACAAAAATTCATATACACATATGTTCACTTTGTTACATGTTCACTATATACATGCATGTACATGTTTATACATGTTCACTATATACATGCATATACCTGTTGTTTGAAGGTCTCTTCTTGTTTTATCATGGCCATCTTCATGTAGTCCTTGTCATACTGTTTCAGATATCTGCCCATTGAAATTCTCAGACTTTGCTCAATTCTTCTGTCCTTAGACTTGTTGCTAGATTTCTTGAGAAGCTTCAGCAGGTTCCTATAATTAACCTACGTAAGTCCACTGACTCTGAATCAGAAACAGTGAAACTGGAATGGAAAATCCCCTTCTGAATTAATCTGTTCACTAGAAAAATCCACTGATATCCTTATGACAGTTGATCATCTAGTAGGGTTAACACCATCGACAGAAAAATGCAGACATAGAGTAGTTAGGTATTGTATATTTTCTTCATAATTTTTCTTTAATTAGGATTATGCACTGAAGATGGAGCACCTTGTTCCAAATTCAGAAAAATGAAAATACTTGTGCTACTTCTAGCACTTGGTCAATAAACTCTATTCCTTGCATATATCATTGAGCAATCAATATAATTTATAACACAATTAAATTTGAGAGAACACCATGAACTTCTTCAAGGAAAACCCATCAAACATCAAGAAAATAATACAATGTATTGCATGCATACATTGTATTATATAATGCTTGGTTGGGTGGGCAATCACAATAAACTTGATTATATGCATTTTTTATATGTACATGTTCACTATATACATGTATTGCATGCATCTCATATATATATATATATATATATATATATATATATATCCCTAGCTTTCCAGCATCTACCCCTAGTATTATAGCATCTACATCCATGGCCGATGATCATTTACAGACCCCCCTTACAGGTTTGTAAATTTTGATTTTGATTTTATTTTGTACTATAATTGATTTCTTGATATGATTACACATTTATCAGATGTGGGTGAGACTGATTTGCAGACCATCCTTACGCACTCTATACCATCTGGACACTCGACGGGTTAGTATCATTTAATGTATTGATATTATATTGCATATTATTTTATTAAACAATACTTACATAATATTCTTTTATTGTCTAGTTGGAGGGGATGCCTCTGCATCCACATCAATAGCTCGTCCTCTACACTTGAGAAATTATCGTCCTAACCGTGCTGCTAAACGGGCGGCGAAGCGTGCTGAGAATGCCGGAGGTATGTAAGCCCAATTGGAGAATATGTTTAATGACTCGAATATGTTTAATATACTCCTTCTCAGTATAAAACCTGAGATTTTTGGTCCTTGAACAGATTTATGACTCGAATATGTTTAATATATTCTGCATGACTTATGAAATTAAAGGCTGTATACACATCCTGTCTTTATTAGACTATATCAAATAGATCAATGATTTAAACCTTAAAATGAACAAGACTGGTCCTCCATAACTTCTTAAAGTATGAAGAGGAATGTCAGTTTCTCCTTATACCACCCACTGTAGTATAACTAGGAAGATCCTTCAATTCTCCAAGGGCCTCAGTGTCCTGCAGCAAAGAAAAAGAAAAAAAAAAGAATGCAGGAAAGTGAAACAAGAAAATGAAATGAAGTAATGTTCAAGCTGAAAACCATACATACCTCGAAGGTATTTGGGTAAAATTCAGGTTTATCACTTGGCCTGAAAGGAAGTTTATTATGATCTTAGTCTCTGAAATGAAATGAAGTAATGTTCAAACTGTAAGGTTGCATGCAAACTAGTCTTTAGCTACATATCTGAAACACAGCACAAAGAGCTTTCTGAAACCAATTGACCTCTCCAATTTCTCCATCCTACGTACAACTTTATAACATGCATTATACAACTACAAAACTTTGATGCAGGTTTGCCACGGACGTCCAAGAAGGTTCGATCTTCAAATAAAGCCAATCGATTAATGCCCGATCCTGAGAAGAATGAACCAGCATTCCTCTTGCACTTTGATGAGTACTTCCGTGTTACAGGCCCTAATGCTGAGAGATTTGGACAGTATGTGGGGCAAAAGAGCCGCCAATACATGGACTTCCCACTTTATAAGAACTGGGGTCCGGATCATGAGCGTTCGTTTGATAAGTTCTTTCTCCAAGCCCAGGTTTGAATACAATTTTAATCTATTTCTGTCATTACAAAACTAGCAAGATCTTATTCAATATTCACGTAAAGTGTTTAATGTATTTTTTTTGTTAAATATGCAGAAAGATTATGAGTTTTTGCCTGTAGATCGTTATTGTCCTCTTAATATTCCTGCTATACATCGAGGCGTGAAGATAAAGATGCAGGAGAGAGTCCGAGGCAATCGAAATCAGGTAAAGAAGGAGTGTTATGAACTGTGGCTGGAGACTCCCCAAGAGAAAAGAGAGGATCTTTTCAAGACAGAGGTGTTCGAAGGGATCGATAAAAGATGGTGGGACGACCTCTGCAAGTTATTTTCTTCTAATAGGAAGCAGGTATATGGTTAACAAATAATTCAATGATTGGCATGTGCTTATTTTTGGATCACAATCTAAATCTTACATTTTTGTGCAGGCGGAGGCAAAAAGAAATAAAGATAATCGGGAGTCAAAGAAGCGAGGTTGAGCAACCTATACGGGTGGCTCGAGGAGTATGGCTCGGGCAAAAGAGAAAGTGGTAAAATTAATCTCAAGAGTTTTAAAAAATGCATTTATTAATTTATGATACGATATCTTATACAAATTTATGTTTTGGTGAATTACAGAGAGCTCGCATCGAAGAATCGGGTGGCAGTTCAAGTGCATTAAAGGAGTATTTAGGTACCCATGCGACTTTAGTCGATCCAGGTGCATTAAAGGAGTATTTAGGTACCCATGCGACTTTAGTCGATCCAGGAGCTGATACATATTCATGTACATATCCCGACACCCAAACTCAAGAGCCATGCGACTTTAGTCGATCCAGGAGCTGATACATATTCATGTACATATCCCGACACCCAAACTCAAGATTATTGTGCAAGTGTTATGCTTTTGACTAATTGAAAATTTTTTCTTGAATATGCTTATAATAATATTGTCGACTTAATATTTGAATACTTTATGTGGTGTAGGCTCGGGTGATCGAAAAGGCCAAAGCATTAGGGGTCGATCGAGAACCCAAATCTACTGCAATGACCACAGTCTTAGATGATGTACATGGAGGGCATCATGGTGGTTATGAGAGAGGTTTGGGTAACGGTGTCACTAGATTTTATTTGAAGACTTCCTCCACTCCGACCTTCGCTACTCCTCCTGATGTGCTTCGTGAGATGGCGGAGCTTAAGGCCAAGATGGAAACTAACCCAGCTTGTACGTATATATGGTTAATTAAATTAAATTAAAAGGAATAAATTTTGACGTGAGTACATGATAATAACAATGTTTTTAATTTAGGAAGCTGATTTCAGAAGTTTATTTCTCACATTGCAAGATAGTTTATCATATATAAAACTCACGATTATCTTCAAAAGGGAAGTGAAACTGATCCTAAAAGTATAATGTAATATATCTGACTTTTAAAAGGGCAAGAAATCTGGTTCCAAAAGACATCGAACACTGTAATTTTTTTGGTAAAAAGTAGTTTTCCGCCCTCCGTTAATTCATTTTTGATGTACATAACCAATTCACCATAGAAATAAGTTGCGTATGAGCTGCCTGTTGTCCCTAAGAACCTGATATATTCGTTGATGCAATTGGATTAAAGTAAATGAAAACATGGTTTAAGTTTGCTATTTTGTTTTGTACTTCAGCAATAATGGATTGACTTTAAAGCCCGCAGACTTTGTTCTCTCTTTCAAAACGATACTATACTTGCTAATAATATATTAGGATGTAGAAACACACACAAACATCATAAAACTTCAATCCCTTGGTTGGCGTAAGGCTATGATGTCTTATTTTAGCCTTTTTCTGCTCCATTAATACACATAAAAGTTGGATATGTGACGCATCACTATAATATTAGTCGCTTCCAATCCTAAGTTGCTCTCCTTTTCAATGATTTTATTCTTAGTCTTCGGCCCCATCTCTTCAACATTTCTCATCAAAAACTTCACTGACATCACAATTGTGCTATTACCTGTTCAGCATCAAGATTCCTTGCACCCAACAAGATGACAGATCTATGGTTTTTTAATATTCAGACTATACATTGGGGATCCATATGGTACTAAGATCACAAAGTGGTTAAATTACTCTTGGTCGGATTATTCGTCAAAGTGGTTAAATTACAAATTTGTGTGAGATTCATCTGAACGTGCCCTCTAAATATCATTACTTATACTTTACAGGTTGATTATCATACCGCTCATCCACCTTCTGTTGTTTCGGCTACTCAATCGGCTTCTGCTCAGCCTTCTCCTGGTGCTCAGGGTTCGGCTTCTGCTCAGCCTTCTCCAGATGCTCATGGTTCTACTTCTGCTGCTCAGCATTCTCCTCAAGATATTTCAACACAAAATCATATTACAAGTCGACTGGGGGGCTTGATAAGGGGCTTAACGCAGGAGGGTTACGGCGAGGAGGACGTCCGCAAGACTTTTGTTGATTTTCTTCAATTTAGTCAGCAGTGACATGCACTTTTAAGATATTTGAGACATTGTATTTTGGATATTCTTTATGTTTGTGATTTAATTAGTTTAAAAATTACTACTCGCATTTCATTTTAGTAATTTTTTTGTTTTGGCTTATAATTGCGTATGGTAGTGTTAGGATCTTGAATTCATTTTATGATATTTATGTTTTTGGTTGTATAATTGCATGGGAATATTGCTATGAACAGGTTGATTAATATTGTTATGAATAGGTTGATAATGTGCACAAATAGTGCATGTTTTTTGAACCGTTGGTGCTGATAAAACAACCGTTGGGGCAAACTTTGCCCCAACGCAAATTGTCCCAACGGGTTTTTTCTTTGCCCCAACGGTTCTAACCGTTGGGGTCACTATCTACCCCAACGGTTTGAACCGTTGGGGCTGACCTCTTTTGTACTAGTGACTCCAGTATGGAATCATCAACGAATTTACATGAGTAAAGTCGCTTAATATAAGCAACTAAAGTATTTCTCATTGTCTCAATACAAGTAGCTTTCTAATTCAAGTTCTAAGCATAAGGTTCAGTGATTATAACTTCCTAACAACTTCCTAACGATGTAGATCCTAAACTTCTTTATGGCTCTTTTTTTTAGCACTCACACCTTCTGAAGACGGCGTTCCCCCTCGTCTCATTTAAGTAATTTTTTCAGTTAAACCCAACGGCAAGGCAATTTATTATCATGCTATTCCATTTAACATCATACTATTCCCACGTGTCATCTCAAATTAACTTGGGAATAATGTCCTAATAAAAATTGTTCAGGTGGTACAAATGACTAATCCTCATACTATCGAAGAAGTTAACCATTTACCATCCTTTATTAGGACAAATTTTCGAAAGCAACCCTTTTGGGTTTTTATTTGCAAAAAAAGACCGGGTTTGAAAAAAATTGTAAAAACCGACCTGTTTTCAGCCCAACGCTGAAAACAGGTCGGTTTTTGTAAAATTTTGGGAAACTTCACAGGAGTTCAACTCCCGTGAAGTTTAGTGTATTTTTAAACTTCACGGGAGTTGAACTCCCGTGAAGTTTAATTTCTTCATAAATCTTCGCGTGAAGATTTATGAAGTGGATGAAACTCCACGGGAGTTCAACTCCCTGTGGAGTTACAAGGAAATATTCCCAGAGAGCCGCTCTTTGGGAATATGCCGCTGGTAAACATCCACAGGGTTGAACTCCCGTGGAGTTGGCTGCCTATAAAACACGACGTCGTGACACCAGTCCGACCCCAGCCCGATAAACCCTAGCACTCTCCAGGTCCCGCCAATCCCGCGCCGCCCTAGCGCACGCGACCGCCGCCGTCGGCCTCCAGCGCCCAGACCGCGCCATCCTTTGCGATCGCCGGCGTTGTCAGATTCAGCATCTCAGTCTCATTTAAAAAAAGGTAAAATCTTCCAAAAAAAATTATACTCTCTAATTTTTGTATACTCTCACTATTTGATTGTGATTACATGTAAAAATCTAAATTTTAGAATTTAAATGTTAATTATTTACGAATTTTGTGAAGAAAAAAATTTGTGGAATTAGTGTGGAAATTATCAATAATTTTGTGAAATTAGAGGGGAAATTATCAATAAATGCGAAAAAAATAGTGTTACTACATATATGTATGACATAAATTAGATTTTAGAATTTAATTGTGGATTATTTACGAATTTTGTGGAGAAAAATTAAATAATTTTGTGCATTTAGAGGTGAAATTATGAATTAATGTGGAAATTAGAGTTACTACCAAATAATTTTGTGCATTTAGAGGTGAAATTATGAATTAATGTGGAAATTAGAGTTACTACCTAAATGTAAAAATTAGTAACAATCAATATTTAAAATTAGTAACAATCAATATTTATTTTGCTTTTCGTGTAATATTGATCTTGAATTTTTCACTCTTCAGATGTAACGATGAACGATCAAATCGTAATTCTCTGTTCTTATGATGGGAAGATTAATTACCTCGAAAATAATATGCCCGTTTATGAAAGATGCGCGACGAGACCGTTGTTCATAACAAAATCTTGTACTTTCGATGAGTTGGTTAATGAATTACACAAACTTACATTAACTAACTCACGTGAATATCACCTCAGTGTGGTTTGCAATTATCCTGTTGTGGGGAACAGAACAAGTGGCATTCAAATATCAAGTGACTACGATATGGGTCTCATTCATGCCTTACACGAAGAGAAGCGTTCGATCGAATTGTTCATTGAAAAACATCAGAGGGATTTGGGCAAATCGTTGAACTCCCAAGGAATGTATTCCCGCATGTTGGAGGATCCTGAAGTTGATTCTGTAGGCTTTTTATCTCCTCAACAAGATGACTGTTGGACACAATCACAATACATGAGCGATCCTTCGTTCGTGGGCACTTCGAATGCTTTCGATACAAACACGGGAATTCAAGAAGATAATGCAAGTGTCGAATCCGAGAATGATGATGAAGATGAGGGATTATAAATTAATAGCATGACCTTGATAGATCGTGATGACGGGGAAAACCAACACATCGACGGATGTTATGTTAATAATGAGTATGTCATCTTAGAGGATCCACCGCCCGATGAACTTCAAGGAGATGAATGGATTGATAACTCCATGATGGAAAGTGTTCCTATTAGCACTAATAGCGGTGTTGATACACAGGCCGTGGACTTCTCATTCATGAAGGGAGATCTTTACGAGAGTAAGGAGAAATTGATTCATGCTATTCGCACGTATTCCATTGCGAAAAATGTGAAGTTCAGGCCAACCAAAAATAATACTACAAGCTATAATGTGGTTTGTTTCTATCGCAAAGATGACGATGTTGAAGATAATAGTGGACACCACGACGGCAATGCGAAGTGTCCGTGGAAACTTAATTCACGCTCGGGTGTAAGAGTAGGCGGGCAATTCAAAATCACGACATACAATGGACTCCACACTTGTAGCAATCCTCGATTAGAGATGAATAAAAAGAATGCGTCCTCTTCTTTTATACAGGATACGAGGCCCACAGCTGTTGACTATACCGCGTATATGCATTGGTATTGGGGTATCACACGTAGATGGATCACGCGTGACCCACAGCCATCAGCTGGACACATGTCACGCCCACCAACAGATAGTTACATCCCTAGTAGGATGAACGAGAGAGATTACGTAAGTTTCTAAGCTAAATTATAACATTTTTTATTGAGTTGGTACTTAATAAATTGTTTACCTCGCAGGTCCGTGTTTTAGATAGCATTGATGCTAATATTGATGCGCACGTGACTGAGATTCAGGATCAGGTGGCGTTAGGGCTCATCAGCAGGATCAAGAAGAGCATAGCGTAGGTGTTTCATAAGACTCACGTCCACGAGTTCGAAGGCCGTGAGGATAGGTCTCGCTCATTTGGACAGGCGTACGCTCGACGTCGACGACCACGTGATGATGACGTCGGTACTTCGCATGCCGACGGAGCAGGCACTTCGCATGCCGATGGAAGATAGTTGAGGCTCATCAGTAGGAACCCAAGGGGCGGGGAAGAGCGAGGGGGAGGGGGAAGAGAGGGAGTGGAAGGAGGGGAGCTATATTGGGTTATATTTGTAACTTTCCTGAATTTTCAAATACTAAACTCTTGAAGATCAATTATTGTTCATATATATAATCGTGCATGTTTAATTCATGGTTGAATCATGTATATATTGTTGTGATTGTTGTTTGCAAATAAATTGGTGTATATATGAGTTAATATATATGAGTTAACAGGTACGTATACAAAACATGCACAGCAGACTGTGCATGAACCTGCAACTTCACGGTAGTTGAACTCCCGTGAAGTTGCAGTCTCAACTTCACAAAGAGCAGCGCTGGCGTATCTGGGCATAAATCTTCACGGGAGTTGAACTCCCGTGAAGATTTATGAATAAATTAAATTTCACGGGAGTTCAACTCCCGTGAAGTTTAAAAATACATTAAACTTCACGGGAGTTAAACACCCGTGAAGTTTCGGAAGAATTTTAACAAAAACCGACATGTTTTCAGCGCTGGGCTGAAAACAGGTCGGTTTTTGTAAATTTTTTCGAAATAGGTCTTTTTTTGCAAATAAAAACCCAAAAGGGTCTGTTTTAAAAATTTGTCCTCCTTTATTATTTATATCAATCTATACTACATATAAAAGAGGATTGTCTTGCCAAAACTTCTTATTTTCATTTTTACCCTTTTAGGTATGATAATTCTCAAATATGTCATTGTTGTAATTAATCATTTAGTAATTATATATCACCTCTTATTAATTATACATTTCCTCACTTTTCTGAAACCTTCGCTCACACTATTAATTTATTATTTAAGTATGTTATTTCATAGAAAATTTAAAATTTATCCCTAAGTTATCTTCACATAAAATTTATTATTTAATTTATTATTTAAGTATGTTATTTCATAAAAAATCATTAGGCTTATGCTTTGTGCCTTAGGATTTCACCTCTTACGGAGGACTATATATTACCTTCCATCTTACTAGCCTTCTAAAGTATGATAATAGTATAAAAATAAATTTATATTTATTATAATTATAATAATATTAATAGTATAATGATCTTAATAGTGCTTTTTAAATTAATAAATTATACTTTAATTTAATAATTAAACAATTTGGTAAATTTACTAATAGTATAATAAACAAATTATTAAATTAAAATGTAGTTATTAAATAGTGTTATAAGTATGCCATGTATAAAATTATTATATTTAAAAGAAGAAATAATTTAATATATGATAATTATTTTAATAAATTATGAATAAATTATAATAATTATCCAAACTATAATAATTAATCATACAGTTCTTTATACATAGTTTATTTAATATATGATAATTATTTTAATAAATTATAAATAAATAATAATTATACAAACTATAATAATTAATCATACAATTGCTTATACATAGTTTTATCATATAATTTATTCACTTAAACAAAATTGTAATTGTTCATAATTTATATTACTATGCAAGTAATTTTATTATTTTGCAACCAACAAAAAAAATAAAAAAAACATAAAACAAAATAAGTACACTCTCGTGCAAAGCATGTACGCTATAATAGTGAACATAAATGTTGAACTAATGGCTTCAAGATCAGCTTGGCAATACTTATCAATGAATTTATGGATATAATTTACTAATAGTATAATAAACAAATTATTAAATTAAAATGTAGTTATTAAATAGTGTTATAAGTATGCCATGTATAAAATTATTATATTTAAAAGAAGAAATAATTTAATATATGATAATTATTTTAATAAATTATGAATAAATTATAATAATTATCCAAACTATAATAATTAATCATACAGTTCTTTATACATAGTTTATTTAATATATGATAATTATTTTAATAAATTATAAATAAATAATAATTATACAAACTATAATAATTAATCATACAATTGCTTATACATAGTTTTATCATATAATTTATTCACTTAAACAAAATTGTAATTGTTCATAATTTATATTACTATGCAAGTAATTTTATTATTTTGCAACCAACAAAAAAAATAAAAAAAACATAAAACAAAATAAGTACACTCTCGTGCAAAGCATGTACGCTATAATAGTGAACATAAATGTTGAACTAATGGCTTCAAGATCAGCTTGGCAATACTTATCAATGAATTTATGGATATATTGAAGATTACTAAAAAGAATTACTGAAGCTAAGAAAATATATAAACATGCTCAATTAGAAAACAATTCTGTCCTGATAAAGTTCCAAAGCTCGAGTGACCTTTTCTAGGAACAACTTTCTGTGCAACCGATACCTGCAAATAGGGAAGAGGTTCAAAAAGTGCTGAAGGGCAGGAAATCATACATAATTATTAGATAAATAATGATGATCAACAAGCTTACTTGATGGCAGCTTCTCGCGTTCTACTTGCGTCAGGATTATTATCTGAGTACATATACATAATAATTCTATAATCATAAATTGGAAAGGATTGGGAATTTATAATACATGACGATCTACTCCATGAACTATCCATACTAACAAGAATGATCACACATTACGGTGTGTAGACATCATGAGATCACGCTATCTTCAAATAGAAAGTCAATAAACTGAAAATAGCTACTCAGTGAAACATAGGACGTACATGCCCTGAATTTTAAAGGCTAATTGCAGATAGATCCACATACTATGAGCATGCAATCAATTGTACCCTCTAAAACTAATTATTTTGCACTTACACAGTCACACCCCTTCAACTCCAGACAACAATATTTTCCGAGTAATGTTGAAATGTCACACGGGAGTCATGTGACAGAAAACTGCCTATTGTCCTCAGTTTAATTGACAAAATACTTAACGTACCCTCTAAAAGCTAATAAAGTTTGATGTCAAAAGGTACAAATGATTATTAAAAGTTCAGGGATTTAAGTGACTACACCATCATATAACAGGCGATACAACTGCATTAGTTTTAGTCTACAACTCAGGACACTCATCTGAGAATTTCTTGAGTAGAATGATACAATACCAACCTCCCCGCGATACAACTGCACTAGTTTTAGTCTACAACTCAGGACACTCATCTGAGAATTTCTTGACTAGAATGATATAATACCAACCTCCCCCTCCCAAAACTAACAACATACACATACAAACAGAAACAGACATGGACAGGCATGTACTCGCACATCAAGATTATCATCGTCCCTTTCTGAAGTGCTTGTATTCATTTTGTTCGATAGTAAATCAAATTTTGAATAGCTACTCATTACAAGTAACACAGTTGAAAAACAAATAACAAATATTTACACACATGCAACAGCCTCAACATAGAAGCGCATGCGCATAAGGCAGTGCATAGAAAAGAGGGAATATCCTATAAAGGCCTCTCTAAAGAGAGTCATGTAGGGAAGCAGGGTGTCGTGACACATGTAAAGGGTAGCCCATTGCACGAGTCTCCCACCACTGTAGCCTCTGGGAAGGGTCAGATGTACACAGCCTTACCCCGCATGCGAAGAGGCTATTTCCATGATTTAAACTCATGACCACAAGGTCACAAGGTAACAACCTTACCATTGCGCCAAGGCTCACCCTCGATGCAACAATGCCAAAAGTTGTATTCGACACTTGGAAATTTTTTTCTACAGAAGACCCAACTCGATGCAATCAACCACTATCTATGACTTAAACAACTAAATACGTGTGAAATGGAGAATTTAGAAAGTATCAATGCTTTCAATCCAGACCATCAAATAGTCACTAAGTCACTTCATAAGTTTAGAAAGATAGGGGAAGGAAGACTGGAATGATTGGACCTTATTTTTTTTAGCATTCTAAGATGTTATTACTAGCAACCAAAGTGTATGGTATGGTACCTAGAATTTTCTGGTCTTCATCAGAAGTAGTAGGAAATTTGGCAAGCATCTGCCGACATTCTTCCTGCAACTCTCTTGCCGCTTTCCTTTCAGTATTTGGTACTGGAGGCATATCTCTATTGGACCATGTTGGTAGGGTGCGTGCTGCTGCTATAACTGCTCCATCCACAAAATTATCGTCCTCTTCACTGGATAAGAGGCCTAAAATAAAGACGAATCCAAATTAAGAATGGAAATATAGGAAGAAAAATTCTAAATAAAGACAGTAAATTTCACTAAAAAAAACCCCTGAACTCCAGAGAGCTTTACTCAAAACCGCCCTAAACTCTCTAAATCTTTTCCCCTTAAGTATCACGAGTTTTAATCATCACATGCTTCACACATGTTTTCAACAAATTTTCCCTATTTACTGCTTTACCTTTATCGAGAGTTTTTGGGGTTATGCTTCATAGATATTGATAAGGGTAGTCCAAACATTTTACCCTTCATGCTAACGCTGCTTATGACAATTTCCAACAGTTCGAGGAAGTTTTCTATAACTTGATAGTTCATGGTAGTCCTATTTAATTTATAATGTTTAGAGGGTTTTGGGCCCAAACCCCCTAGAGGGGTTTTATGAAATTTACATGTAAAGATATCATCACAAGCTCAAAATTTGAAAGCAGAAAGTTTCAGCAGCCTTACTGTTGTGATAGTACTCCTCTGGGAGGCCAGAGATGTTGAAGGCGGATAAGAACGAATCCAAGTGAATCTGAGCATTGCCTGAGAAGTTTATCACATCCCAAGGATTCTGCAATATTAAAAAAAATTGAAAAAAGAAAAGGAAAGGAAAGCAACAATAAAGAAAGACATTGATTTACCACCTATTGATGATCAATTTAGTACACGATGATGAACTCCTTAAGGTAAATAGCATGAGTTTAATGCACAATCCTATGGCAAATATTTAAATTTGTGATTAAATAAATGTATGTATTGAATAATGTCAACTTGAATTGAAGATAAGCGTACTTCGGCTTAGGAGGCCCTATCTCTGCTTTCCTGAACCAGAAATGCCATTTGGCTAAATATAAATTTCTTGTACAATTTCTGTATCTATTAGAGAGCTGACATTTTTATTGTAGTATTTTCCTTCAGATGGATTGTTTCATTACAATGATCCATGAATGCATGCATACTGCTATTATTTGCACTGCAGTTCGAATGCTTATATTGACTTTATGACATTTGAGGAACCAACACTACTAATGATTCTGTTTTCTACTATTAATAACTAGAACTACGTAAACAGTAGAACGTCTAGTATCTTTCTCCTGTAACATTATCAAAAAATTATAAGGAAGAGAATTTTAGAACAAGGGAACGGAATGGATTCATAACCGAATGCCATGGATGCAGAAATTTTCAAAGGTTTCAAAATATAATAAAGTTTTTACTAAGACTAAATGTGATATTTGGTCTGCTTGGAGCAGGGCTAGGAGTAAAAAGTCAGATTTATCTTCTCATGCATAATAGGATTTTTAGAAATAATGCCAGATTTGCATCACATACATTTCTTCACATGCTTGCTAACTTTACACTCTAGACAGTTTTTACTGTCAGAGGAGGTGCACAGTTTGCTGATGCCAACATATGCCACCATGTTCATGATGGCTACAATGATCGACAAGTTGCAAGACATGATGCTTCAATAGGCAACCAAAAGCTAGGATTCAATCGTGAGTAGTCCCTCATCTGGCTTAATGACCTCCTCTACCAAACTTCACTACTAATCTTGCCCATGTAGCCTTTAGTATGCTTTTGGTATTTTTGTGAGGAGTGCAATATTTTGTATCTATATGTTCTGTTGAACTATTTCTAATGAAACCTGCGACCTAAATGTCCAACTAAAGCTATTGTTAGAATCTAACAACAATAATAGCCCTACAAAATTGAAAAGTTTAAACCATAGAAGTCGGGAACGTGGGACGCTACAGCGAACCGCAACCCAAGATTCACAATGGAACACGACCCAATTTTGCCCATGTGGCCTTTAATACGATTTTGGTGTTTACATGAAGAGAGTGCAATATTTTGTATCTATATATTTTTAAAATCTTTATAATGAAACATGCAACCTAAACTTATAAAGCTGTTGTTAGAATCTAACAACAATAATAGCCCATAAAGTTGAAAAGTTTAAACCATAAAAGGCGATGATTTAGGTATTTTTGTGAAGAGTGCGCGATATTTTGTATCTATATATTTTGTTAAACACTTTCTAATGAAACATGTGACCTAAACTTCTAGATAAAGCTATTGTTAGAATCTAACAATGGTAATAGCCCATAAAGTTGAAAAGTTAAACCGTAGAAGGCGGGAACGTAGGACGCCATAGTGAACCGTGATCCGAGATTCATGGTGTAACACGACCCAATTTATCAATTCTAGTGACCCGATTTAGAATTCAAACAAGTTAAAATTTTCACAAACAACAACTCTTTTTCAATAGAATAAATAACAAAAAAAATATTGCATACTTTGATTGCAACATAATTCTCAAGGTTCTTTTACCATTACTGATATACACTAGCAAATTTCTTAAATTTGACTATTAGAAAACTCTTGATTCCTACATTTAAGAACCGAACCTAATATGTGACATGTTCTCTAGAATCCTATATAAGCCTAGCTCCTTGTGTCAATTCCTAATGAGTGGTGTATCATGCTCTCGTACATGTCCCGTAAACCAGAACAAATCGGGTTCCATGTAACCATAGTTTAAGCAACAAAAATCATAATGTGTAGACCAATATGGTTGACCCACAAAAATACAAGATAACATACTCCAAAACCTTAATTTAAGCCATAATAGTAAATGTTTCGCAACACCTTTTTTCGAGAATGTGAAAGACCAAAAATCTAAGCCGTCACTGTTTATTTTTAATATCATTTCTCTACCAAAAATTACCTTTTAGTGTAGAAAAATCTAGCTTATTGGCCATTACAAGTTCAACATAGGGTTGGTTTCGCATAACCCCTCTAAAGTGTGTTTATCTCACTTAACCCACCTAAACTTTAAGATGTCCCAAGATACCACCTTGAACTTTAACATTTTCTCACCGGACCCACCTACTTTGTAGTTTACAAATTAACAACAATGTTCTTGATAGGAAAAAATCTCAAATTTTGGACTTCCCATTTATAGGCAATGTAGCCCCTCTTCTAAATTTTGTGCATTTTTTCTCTTCAAGGAAATTTTATTTATTGTAAACCACATGTAAGGGGTGTGGTGAGCAATGTTCAAAGTTCATGGTGGTTATTGAGACACCACATTGTTTAGGGATTATGCGAGATAACAAAGTTTGGGGGGTTATGTGAGAAACCCCTCAAAGTTTAGGGGAGGTTATGTGAAATTAAACTAAATTAACCTTTAACTTATGCACATGCTAAAAAAGAATTACTTAGTTATGAACACTTAATTGCGGGAGACATCCACTTTGGCACACATTGCATACAGTGTAATTGAACTTATACATGACTGCCACACACTAAAAAAACATAGGACCACTTTCCGAAAAAAAGAAACCCAAAAATTATTATAGCTCAACAATGTAAAAGGATTATCAAAACCAAATAGAAATATGAAATGCATGAGCCAAGTAGAAGACCGCGAGAACCAACAAAGGAACACGTGAAGGATCAATCATCAATATGCTTTAAAGATGTGAATATGACCAGATAAGGGTCTGGAAGTGAAAGAAAATAGGAATACCGTTGATGAAGAAAATCCATATCTTTCCATGAACATGTCATTCATCCTTCCACTCATATAATTGATAGTCATCTGTCATTTACAAGAATCAAATGTCGTAACATATCATTTGCAGGTAATGCTTTAAGCAAGAAATCAACAATTTCATTGTACACCCATGGTGGCAAGGATATGATTGATAATTTATCAGGAAAAAAAGACTGAATACTTCTCTGTAAACCAATGGTAAAGCCAACATAAGCAATGATAATCTATTATGAAAAAATACTAAATACTTCCATTGTTTCTTTTATTTTTTTTCTCTATATGGAGATGACAATGTACATAAACAATAAGAAAAGATGAGAGCATTTCTAAACTCAAAACTAGACTAACGTGAAACTCAATAACCTCATTACTTGATGAATCTATTCTAATTAATCAAGAAGTGCAAGAATAACAAATGTCCTGTGTACAATTCTTGGTGTCATCAGTACCACGGAATTTTCCATTAGGATCTATTCAAGGCCAGATCCTTGGTGACTTTAACAAGCATTATATCTGTTTTTTAGAACTTCAACCATGAATCTGTCTTGTTCTGTTATTGTTGTTGTAGACTTCTTAACTACAATCATCTCACTCCTCTAAGCTGATACTGTTAGAGATAGGTGCCCTGCAGGCAATTATTGTATATTGTAACAGGTCCTATATATATAACATCCTTGTTCAAAATGATAGTATGCTATTTTGGTCAGATTTATCTGATGTTCTAAAAATACAGATAATGTCTTTAGAATAAATACTAGACTATCAGACATTTCGGATAGTGATCGTAATGAAGAGATCTAATTAGTTGGTAACGTATATTCTAAAATGTTCCTAATTGATGAAGTGTTGAGATAGGACATCATCACTTTGGTTTAGACTAGTGTATGCTTTATTTCTCCTTTTGAAGGAGATGATCAATCTCTTAGATCATTGATGTGAGACATCAAGATACAGTATACAGGTGACTCATTAGTGAATGAGTTGACTGAACGACTCGCCGAGAACATCTAGTTGGTAATATACTTAACTGTCAAATAGAAGTTCTCAAGTGATATAGTACATAGTAGTCTCTTGACCTGAGGCATGAGTGCAATATCTTATATGTCAGTAAAGATGTATTTAGACTTTTACCTAACCACAGTTCTTATTGAATTGTGCATAACGGTTCTTGTTGGGTACATCCCGAGACATAAGTAGATATTGAGATGCCAAGAAGGGATTCGTCTCTCCCAGTATAGGGATTGATGTCGTAAGATTGTTTGATATAACTATAGCCTGGAAATCCTTGGCCAAGGTGAATAAGATAAACTGAGTGTCAGTTTGATCTTATAGGTTATGAGTTTAATATCAATAAACACTAATCAAGCTATTAGGGTTTGACAGTTTGCCATACCCTAGGCTCTATAGTTTGACATGGTTTGACGAAGAGACCGAACTGTACGGTATTATCATTGAGTGGTCCTGATAAAATTGGATAAGCATCTTGCAGACCTTTATCACAACTTATACCCGGGTGGTCTTCATGTGTAGCTAGCACCTCTGTTGTACTTATGGATATGATCCACTACCGAGTTTTTTAAGTTGGGCCCTAGAGTCACACCAAGCGCGTACTTGAATCCTATGAAACACAATTTATGGAGTGATGCGTATGATTGATACGCATATATGATTTTTTCAGGATACACATAAATGATTATATATATCGGTAAAATCGGAATGCTATGTGCTTAGGAAATGAATTCCAGTATTTTTTCCATAAAGTTAACTTTTTGGTCAACAGTTGACTTTTGGTCAACTCTTGATTTATTTGGTCATATAGTGACTAATTAGTTAAAGATTGGAATAATACTATATACTGTATTTATGAAATACTGTATTAGTAATATTGATTTGGTATTCTCATTTATGAAATACACATACCATGTATAATGAGTCATGAGATGAGTCACTTAGTGGTATGGTTTGAGCACATGGTTTAATTAGCACATGGTTTTGAATGTAATGATTCATAAGATGATTCATTGCATGACTCACTAGATTAATTATTGATATTTGATGATTCATTGCATGACTCATAGGATGAGTCATTCATGTCATGAACACATTTCACTCATGATTCATTGCATGACTCATAGGATGAGTCATTCATGTCATGAACACATTTCACTCTATAAATATGAGTTATCTCTCTTTATGAAAGGCTAATGAAAATTAAATTCCCATAAGAGAAAGAAAGAGAGCTATACCTCTTACTAAACTTTAGTAATCTTTGAGTAAGAGGAAGTAATAGGATTTTAAGAACCCCGGGGTGGATATCTTGCCTCGCGTCTCAAGCAGCATCCAATAGCTTTCGGGTTTACTTGAAGAGTTGGAAATCCACTACGAGGAGCCTTTTGCATCAAAGAGAGCAAGCTAAAGGTTGTTCGATTTACTATCGAATCACGCTACAAAAGTATGACTTTCAAACCTTGTATGCTCACTTAATAATAAGGATTATGTTAGATTTAATTAGACGATCCTTGTATGCTCACTTAATAATAAGGATTATGTTAGATTTAATTAGACGATCCATATGAATATTTCATGCTCCCTACATGCTTAGTATTTTTTGTACATACATGTCTTCCGCTGTGTATTATGCATGTAGACATAGCACGATTTCCTTCAAGTACACCATCAAGCTTCTATTGCACAAGCACAAAACAATTCAAGTATGCTCTTTCATTTTATCTCAAGTTGATGCAACCTCCATATCTCTTTCATTTTATCTCACTCCTCTAAGCTGATACACCATCAAGCCTCTATTGCACAAGCACAAAACAATTCAAGTATGCTCTTTCATTATAGAGCACAAAACAATTCAAGCATGCTCTTTCATTTTATCTCAAGTTGAATCTATTCTAATTAATAAATAAGTACAAGAATAACAAATGTTCCGTGTACAATTCTTGGTGTACAATTCTTGGTTTCATCGGTACCACAGAATTTTCCATTGGGATCTATTCAGGGCCAGATCCTTGGTGACTTTAACAAGCATTATATCTGTTTTTTAGAACTTAAACCATGAATCTGTCTTGTTCTGTTATTGTTGTTGTAGAACTCTAACTACAACCATCTCACTCCTCTAAGCTGGTGCACTGTTGAAAGTCTCTATTGGACAAGCACAAAAATAATTCAAGTATGCTCTTTCCTTTTATGTCAAGTTGATGCAACCTCCATATCCCTTTCACAGTGAGTCGCTTTTCAGTTTTCACCCTACCTTTCCTCACGCTGCCACTAGCCCATCTCTGCTCAGCGCAGAACATTTTTTGATACTTTATTAATTTCCAACATAAACATTGCATTTTCAACGTTCCCTTCAAACCGAGAAAGACATCAGGTGAATAATTTAAAAATTGCATCCCTGCCAAGGGAAATATAATCAAACCATGACATTTCATCCTAATAATTAGGAATCAGACAGCAAATCTTCTTCAGTCAGTAATTGCTACTAATGGCAATGTCCAGTTCCAAATGCAGGATGCTTTTATGCAGCACAACGTTATCTTAGGTCTCCCCTCCTCATTTCTTAACTCTATAGCATGAATGCTGGACAACAACTGACCATGGTCATTCAAAAGTGCATGCTAAGATAACTTGACCCAGCAGTTACATTACTTATGTCAGGGCAGTCTGCCATGTGATTTATTATAACAATAAAAGTAATTTTGTAATCATCACCTCACATTCTTGGCAATGTAAACATCCTACATAATGAGCTTATTTCTTCTACTATAGTAAATCTTAATGTCTATCTAAATTTCTGCAATCAAAGAAAACTTGAAATTTGTAGCTTACTTTATATATCACTAGAAATGATATAACCCATCAATAGTTTAATTCTTGGTCTTACTGCCCCATATTTTAATTTATTGTGCAGTTGGTGAGAAGGATAGCAGACAAAAATATTCTACAACATTTTACTTATTCATAGTAACACAGAGCATTTTTCATATGTTGCATACTTCATGTATAGCAAGAGGAGACGGATGGAAGATGATATTTAAAATCTAATTGAAGATAGTAATAAAGTAGAACTTAATGTCATCTAAATTTCTGCAATCAAAGGGAACTTGAAATTTGTTGCTGACTTTATAATCCATCACTAGAATGGTATAACCCATCAATAGTTTCATTATTGGGTTTACTTCCATATTTTAATTTATTGAGTAGTTGTAGTGAGGAGGATATTAGAGGAAGATATTCTTCAACATTTTACTTATTAATAGTAACACAGAGCATTTTGCATACGTTGCATACTTCATGTACAGCAAGAGGTGATGGATGGAAGATGATATTCAAAATCTCAAAATCTAACTGTAGAGAGTAATAACATGAGAAAGTGACATTGCATACATTACATATGCTCATACATTGCATATATATTGTGTATGATCTTGTGACCATTAGCACCTAGCATCATTCTAATACATGTTTTTCTAGTATGCTCAGGTATGACATAACTGAAGCACAAGAAAACACTGCAGGAAGGAACAATCATATCCTTAATATAGGTAACATAGTTACTTATGCTATTGAAAATCTAATTGTAGAGAGTAATAACATGAGAAAGTGACATTACATATATTACATATGCTCATATATTGCATATATTACATATGCTCATATATTGCTTATTTAGAATGTATGATCTTGTGACCATTAGTACCTACTGCATCATTTTAATACATGCTTTTCTAGCAGGCTCAGGAACGAGATCGCTGAAGTACAAGAAAACACTGCAGAAAACAACAATCATATTCTTAATATAGGTAACATAGTTACTTATGCTATGCCTGGCAAACAATTGAGACTCAACTTGCATCTTTCTAACTAACCAGGCATTTACCACAACTTCATCCTTCTCAAGGAAACAGATTAAAAAGAGAAATGATAAGAGGTCCTAAAGGTAGAAAAGAAAAGGGGTATAAGAGATGGAAAAAAAAATGCCAAAGAATGAAAAAGAACTGAACATTTATTATGAATACAATTAACTATGAATACAATCAAGTTCATATTATGGAATTCACCCCATTTTTTGTAACTTTTCACGTACCTACAGAATTTCTGTTTATGTTTTATTTCATATGTAGTCAAGGTTCTAGGAACCCTAAGTTCTCCTGGTCTAGCAGATGTGCTTAATTGCACATTAAAATGTGTGTATAATTGTATATAAAGGTGCTATGGGCACAAAAGGTATGTTAGGTGGTCAAGATCAATAACCTTAAAAAAAGTAATGATTGCATTACCTCCTCTCCTTTCCGTACGTGTTGTCCAGCATTAATCATCACTTCAAGCATTCTGTCCTTAAACCGCCAGTGAAGAAAACAGTTTGGTTGGAAGGAATGGTTCAGCATATCTGGCAAAAGGGTATCCAGATTTAGTTTGAAAACTTGACAATTTATACAGAAAGGACCATCCATAAAAAGTAAGTGATTCAATGAACATATGCATGACAAGATAACCTTATCAAGAAAATTTACGGAAATAAAAAAGTACATCAAAAAGAAAGCAAAGAATGAAGTAGAAGCATATCTTACAAAACTTGAGAATGACAAATTATATAGAAGCATCATCACAAAAGATATGTGATTCTGTGAACATCAGCATAAAAAACTATTCTTATAGAGAAAAGTTAATAAAATAAGAATAGTACGTGAAAAAGAAAGCAAACAATAGAGTATAAGCTTGAAACCAATGCCCGACAACTTACAAAACTTGATATAGAATTATTGAAAAAAATGCTTAAAGTCTGACGTCCATATCACTGCAAGCCAGGAATTGACAATGGATAAAAGCTTGTATAAAACTTTTCACTCAAAATTTAAATGCAAGTCAATATTTTAAAGAAGCATGACAATATGTTAAAAGTTCTTATCCGCAAAGAAAACCCAACAATGTAATTATGTACAACACTGCTAGAACTAATAACATAGAAATTCTCAAGTACATAGCTTATACCTTTGAATCTAATTCTGGAAAGAAACATTACCAGCATAAGGAACTAGCACGTTTGAATCTTGCACAAGTGCACCAATCCTCATTTTCATGTTAACAGAACGTGATTGAACAATACTTAATGCCCAAAGAAATCTCTCAGGATCACGTGCAAGGCGCTTTATCTTTAGAGGAGCAGCAGAATGCTGTTTATGGTCGAAGAAGCTCATGTGTTAAAATGATGCATCATGATGCATGGAAATTAACCAAAAGTATGATCATCTTACCCAATTCTTTTCCCAAAATTCTACTGCCCGTTGATGCTGCATTTCCATTTTTGAAGCAAGATTTGGATCTTGTAGCTCCAAAAGGTCTTCCTAGACAATAATCATGTATTTATTATTGACATCACTAAGGGTGAAAATCATTATTGTAATCAAACAATTGCACCAAAAATTGTAAAACTCTTCAAAAAAATTAAAAGATTTAGCGAAATAAACTAGTTATTTATGTCCAATGAATGAAAGAATGGAAAGTTGATCAATTTGTACCAAAAGAAGTGCATATCCATGCACACATGTACACAACTTTAGAATGGAATGATAGAACAACAAATTAATCTGTAACGATTTAATATGAATACAACTTTGATTAGCCAAAATGTTGGTTGTTTTGTTGGCCCAATAAGTTGGCCCATTCCACTAAATGCCCAGCTCCCCCACTTGTGCCCTAGCCCCTCTATTTTCCCTCACCTACCCGATGGTTCTCACCTCCTCCTAAGTCTTCGCGATCTCTGGAAGTCTTCGCGATCTCTGGATTTGATGGCCGCCGCTGTGATTTCATCCCTAGGTCGGCTCCCTCCTTCGTTTTCTTCCCTAGCTCCTCTCCCTTGTCGGCTGCCCCCATCCCTATATATGGGTAATGGGTTGGTAGTAGCTTGGGAGAGGGATGAAGAGGAAGTAGAGGCAGTAAGGTGAAGATCTGAGCTTGAGCTTCCCTCTGCTGTGTGCGATCTCCCCCTTTCTGCGAGTTTGTGCTCCTGTGAGCTTTGTGCTTCTACCCGCTGTGCTTCTCTACCCACTGCGATCCTCTCCCCTACCTGAGCTCTGTGCTCCTTCAAAGCTCTGTGCTTTTACCTCTTTGTGAGATCTGGAGAGAGACTGTGTAATAGTTGCTTTTCTCCCTCCCTTTGTGTTCTTGGTGGTGCACTGGAGAAGAAGATCGGACTGATTGAGCAGGCTTCTGAGCCAAACAGCAACGTTGATCCTCAACAGTGGTATCAGAGCAAGGTTAGTGTCGCTGTGCTTCAAAACCGCCGCCGATCGCCGCTGGACACCGCCGGACCGCCACTGGACACCGTCGGACAGACGCCGGACCGCCGCCGGACCACCGCGTGGGCGTGGGTAAGGTCGAAACCCTCTCCTAGGGTTTCGCTCAGGTATATCAGCTGAAAACCCAACTCAACAGCTCATGCTAGTTGCTGGAAATTTTTTCCTGTTTGTGTTTCTGCTCGTGCTAGCTGCTGGAAAATTTATTTTTTGTTTCTCTTGTTTTTCCCTTGCTCGTGCTAGTTGCTGTGATACCATTATCTGATTTTTTCTGTGTGAAAAATGTCGGCTGCTAATCAATATGGTATGATTCAATATGGTATGGCTCCGTTCAACGGAAAATCTGATTTTAGCATTTGGAAACAAAAAATAAAATGCATTTTAATTCAACAGAAGTCGTTTAGGGCTGTTGATCAGACTTATTTAACTTCTGACACTGAAAATAAACGGGCGGAAATGAACGAAAATGCTTGTTCCACAATTTATTTGAACTTATCTGACTCTGTGATTAGAAAAGTTGGAATTTTAGAATCTGCTAAAACCCTTTGGGACAAACTTGAAGAACTCTATACTGAAACCTCTTTGCCCAGTAAAATGTTTTTGCTTGAAAAATTTTTCAAATTTAGATTGGATATGTCTAAGGACATTGAGGAGAACCTAGATGTTTTCACAAAACTTATTTCAGATATTAAGCTAACTGGTGATAAACATATAGATGATTATACTCCTATTGCCCTTCTAAATGCTATTCCTGACTCATACAGTGATGTGAAATCTGCTATTAAATATGGTAGAGATGAGGTTACCCTTGATGTTGTGGTCAATGGTCTTAAGAGTAAGGAATTAGATTTAAAACATTCTGGGGGAAATAAAAATTCTGGTGAGGTTATGCATGTGAGGGGTAGGCCTCAGAATAGGTCTAATTACCAAAAGAATGCTAGTAATGGGGAATAAAGTAAGAAAAAATTTGAAAAATGGAAGGGGTAGATCTAAGTCCAGGTTTAAAGCTAAAAAATGCTATAATTGTCATGAAACTGGTCACTTTATTAAAGATTGTCCTAAGCCTAAGAAAAATCAGCAAAATGAACATGCTAATATGGCTGTCTGTGAGGGCAAAATGGGTGAGATTTTCATGATTAATAATCTGTGTGATTATGCATATTTGAACTCTGTGTTATCTGATCCTTTGTGTAAATCAGATTGGTTAGTAGACTCTGGTTGTACTTTTCATATGACTCCTTTTAAAACCTTGTTTTCAAACTACAAGAAAATAGAGAATGGCTTTGTGTCAATGGCAAATGAAAAGAAATGCAATGTTTTAGGAACTGGTGATGTATGCCTTAGGTTTTCCTCTGGTTCTGTGTTTACTTTGAAGGATGTTAGGCATGTTCCTGATTTACGTTATAACTTGATTTCTTGTGCATCTCTAGAAAATGATGGTTTGGAGGGAAAATGGGGTAAAGGGGTTATGAAAATTCAAAAAGGGTCTCTTGTTGTTTTTACTGCTGAAAAACAAAACAATTTGTATATTTGTCATGCTGAACCTGTGCTTGATTCTGTTAACTCTGTGATAGGTGATAAATCTGTTTTATGGCATAATAGATTAGGTCACATGAGTAATAAAGGATTAGAAATTTTGCATAAAGGAGGTCACTTTGGTAGTGATAAAATATCCCCCATCCCTTTCTGTGAATCTTGTGTGCTAGGAAAACAACATAGGGTTACTTTTCCTACTTCTTCTTTTCCTAATCAGTCTAAGTGCACTAGTGTACTTGAATATTTGCATGCTGATGTGTGGGGTCCCTCTAGTGTGCCTACGCATGGAGGGAACCAATATTTTCTTTCCATAATTGATGATTATTCTAGGAAAGTTTGGGTTTTACTCATGAAACAAAAATCTGAAGTTTTTGATAAATTTAAAAACTGGAAAATTATGATTGAAAACCAAACGGGAAAGAAAATTAAAACTCTTAGGACAGACAATGGTCTTGAGTTTTGTAACAAACAATTGAATGATTTGTGTACTACTTGGGGTATTAAAAGGCATAAATCTGTTCCCTATACACCCCAGCAGAATGAGATTGCTGAAAGGATGAATAGAACTCTCTTAGAGAGGGTGAGGGCTATGTTGGCCACATCTGGGCTCTCCAAGAAGTTCTGGGGAGAAGCTGTTTGTACTGCAGCCTATTTGATTAATAGGTCTCCTTCTGTTCCCTTAGGAGGGAAATGCCCTGAATTTGTGTTCACGGGCAAACCTCTTGATTTAAATAATTTGAGAATTTTCGGGAGTGCTGGCTACGTGCATCAAAAGATTGATAAGTTAGAACCTAGATCTAAGAAATGTGTTTTCTTAGGATATCCTGAAGGGGTAAAAGGTTATAGGCTTTGGAATAAGAGTGAACCGGGGTTTAAGGTAGTGATAAGCAGAGACGTTGTCTTTAATGAAAATGAATTTCCTTGTTTACCTTTACATGTTCCTATTCCTGAAAATGATGCTCCAAATGAGGTGGAGCAAAAGCCTATTATTAATCAACCCAAATCATTTCCTGAAGAAAAATTGAATGATATAATTATTGAAAATCAAGATGAGATTATTCCAAATGAGGTGGAGCATGATATGCAGGAAATAGATAACATGCATGATTTGAATGATTATCAACTCACTAGGGATAGAAATAAAAGAACCATTAGGAAACCTGAAAGATATAGAGATTGCAATTTGATTGATTGTAATATGTCTGAGTTTGCCTTTAATGTGTTTGAATCCCTTGAGTGCAATGAACCTAAGACTTATAAAGAAGCATTAAGGTCAAAATATTCTGAAGAATGGATTAGTGCTATGAAGAGTGAGATGGAATCCCTAAAAATTAACCAAACATGGAAACTTGTTCCTAAACCTGCTAGTTGTTCTGTAGTGGACTGTAAGTGGCTGTTTAAGGTGAAACAAGAATCTGAAAGTGTTAGGTTTAAGGCTAGGTTAGTAGCTAAGGGATTTACTCAAAAGGAGGGAATTGATTATGCTGAAATTTTTGTAATAAACCACTAGCATGTCATCATCCTAGACTTTCCCATTGAATCTGACATCTATCCAATCCAACATTTGATCAATAGTTACACTAGTTAAAACCTAACACCAGTACCATATTCCTCGCTGAAAAACTACAAACAAGAGGTATATTTTAATATTTTAAAGCCTATATATCAATTTGAATGCCATAACTCATTGCCATGCAATGTAAGCTCCTTGAACGAAGGAGAACTGCAAGACTCTACTAGACATTTAAAGACTAGATAGATATGACATACGGTTCTAATTAGAGTTTACAACAACGACAGTGGCAACAGCAATAATAGTTAATGATAATTAATAATAAAAATAATAATAGAAAGAAACAACTTCAGAATTGAAGAGTGGAAGCAAATCTGCTCAAAAAGAAAATGGACATCTTCAAGCTTTAACACAAGTTAACACGAGACTTATGTGTGGAAAAAGAATAAACAGCGAAAACAAACAAATTCAGAATAACCATAAGATTACCTCTTCTACCAGTGACTTCACTTTAGAAGCATTGTCTTTCTTCAGTTGTTTCTTCCTCTTCGCCCTGAGCTCTTCTGAAAGTCAGAACATTAAATTTTAACAAGTATGCCTTTTAGTAGTAATATCAAATATATTGTATATTAGAGAAAATAAAACTAATTCCAATCACCGCTGTAACACAAGAAGTATAAAACACATTGACTTCCTAGAGAAATATATAAGCATTACATGAAAGATATAGCCATATAGGCAAGATCTAACTACTATACGAGCATAATTTGTAGCAAATTACTGCCTTTTTAAGATCATTATAACCTACGATATATGAACAAGAACAAAATTCTTTCAGAAAGGAAATTGTTTAAAAAATTGAAAATAACATATAAAGTTCAAGTTAATGAACTACTTAAGCAAGGTCAAAGTCATGAAGTACAGATGAACAAATATGAAACTAAACAGAACGAAGACAAAACTGATGATGGAATTTTAACTGACTGACTAAATGATAATAAGTTAGAAGATGAGAAAGCAGAAGTATTCATATTATAACCCTACCTTTTGCAGCATTGATTTGACTAACAACGTATTCCCTTTCTTGTGGATCAAGTAACAATTGTTGCGCTTTTGCCAATGCTGCCATGATCAACATTATATGCATTAGCTACATGTTAATCCTTTTGAAATTGAAGAGAAGAAAAAGAACAACCAATATCTTGCACAACCACTAAACTTCCATGCCATTAATTCATACTTAAACCTCAGGAACTCAACCATATTTTTTGACTATAGACACTAAAGAACGCGACACGTAGAAAATAGCTATATAATTTCCTAAAAGTCAACAGAAGCAGAGTTCGCCTAAGGCAACCTTAAAAGATGCCAGTCATAATAAATAATAAATTGATGTTGGTTGTTTTGTTGGCCCAATAAGTTGGCCCATTCCACTAAATGCCCAGCTCCCCCACTTGTGCCCTAGCCCCTCTATTTTCCCTCACCTACCCGATGGTTCTCACCTCCTCCTAAGTCTTCGCGATCTCTGGAAGTCTTCGCGATCTCTGGATTTGATGGCCGCCGCTGTGATTTCATCCCTAGGTCGGCTGCCCCCATCCCTATATATGGGTAATGGGTTGGTAGTAGCTTGGGAGAGGGATGAAGAGGAAGTAGAGGCAGTAAGGTGAAGATCTGAGCTTGAGCTTCCCTCTGCTGTGTGCGATCTCCCCCTTTCTGCGAGTTTGTGCTCCTGTGAGCTTTGTGCTTCTACCCGCTGTGCTTCTACCCACTGTGCGATCCTCTCCCCTACCTGAGCTCTGTGCTCCTTCAAAGCTCTGTGCTTTTACCTCTTTGTGAGATCTGGAGAGAGACTGTGTAATAGTTGCTTTTCTCCCTCCCTTTGTGTTCTTGGTGGTGCACTGGAGAAGAAGATCGGACTGATTGAGCAGGCTTCTGAGCCAAACAGCGACGTTGATCCTCAACACAAAAGAAGCAAACATTATAACAATGTTTCTGCTTATAAACAGGTTTGTGCTGAAGCTATGATCAAACTTAAGAATAGCTTATAGTTGTTTGCCCAACTCGAAATATGATATTAAGTAAACTTTAAGGGGTTTTCACCCTTTACTAGTCTTTTTGTTTTCAAATGTTTGTCGTTGGAAGATATGTGCTCTTCAGCAAGGAGCCAACTTTCCTTTTCTTCTGTTCAGAAAATATCATCTACAAGAGGTCTGAAATTTCAAACAAGGTATGAAACCATCATTTCAGTAAACATGCATATACCTCATATAAAGCAGTTAATTCCTGCATCTTGAGAACAGACCTACTAGAGAATATGGATGAAACTAAACAAGCACAAAGGATGGGCTGCGGATCCGGGTGGGGGCTTCGATCCGAAAGTCAAGAGCTCCCGAATTTGTTGCCTTTGATGCCAAGCCAGATCCGACCGTAAAGTATTAGTTTTTGATATTGTGAACTTCGATGGTTATTTGAAATCCGATCAAGATCTAAAAGGTGGAACATGTAGATTTTTAAGTCTTTGATATTTCTCCAGAACCGTGTTGTAAGGCCTTGGCGGAGAGAGATCATAACTCATTGAGGATCGATCAGAGTAGATCCTGTGACGACGATACTCTACTGGATCATGAGAGCTCACTGGGACTCGTCGATGTTCAGACATGATCGAGTCTAGTTGATGAAGAGGCGTGAGAGGTCGAGATATCAAAGCGAAGGCGAAGAACAATAAGAAAGTTATTGTTCGCCCATTTTGGGTTTTTGCGATCATTTTTTTGGGTGCTTTGTTTGATGATTTTGACAGTGGGAATTCCTTGAGGAAAGGATTTGATTGACCGATATTGTAATTGGAGGGCTAGGATGAAATAAGAGCCTCACCTGAGGACATCACACCCTAACACTTCACATGTCATAATTTTAGCACTTCACATACTAACAAATATTTCACATCTCAAAAAAAATTCTTTCCATTAATCATAGTTTGCCTTCTCAATGAGGCTTACACATTTATTTGAAGAAAATAGAAGATATATCCTAAAAAAGGATAAAATTCAATATCAGAGGAACCTAACATTCAATTCTAAGGGAACAAATAAAATATAAAAGATCCTAACATCAAATCCTAAGGAAATTCTACCTTTAAACAAAGACTGCATTAGATATTTCCAGAACAAAGAAGATCTTAACAAATCCTAATTTCAGTATATCAACGGTCCACGATCATCCTGCATTAGTATGCATGTATATAAACACATATAAAGGGCAACCATAGCACGAGCCTCCCATCATTTCAGTAAACATAGCACGAGCCTCCCACCATTGTGGCGTCTGGAGAGGATCTGATGCCCACAGTCTTACTGTCACATGCGCAGAGGCTGTTTTCGAGACTCGAGCTTGTGACATTAATAAGACCACAATGCAGCAACCTTACTGTTGCACCAAGGTTCTCCTTCTATACATACACACACACATAAAATGAACATATGTACTCATGCAAGAAAGGGGCATGGAAAGGCATAACAATAATGACATCAGTAAACAACATAATTAATCATTCTTTAAGTATTTTATTGAAAACTTTAGAAATGCTTTTTGATTATTCTCAAAAAACTTAGTGCTTTCATTGTTGAATAGTATGAGCCTATGAGATTACTCCACCCCAAAAACAATGTACATTATTCAACACTTTTTGTAATTTGGGAAATTGAAACTCGCCAACCACAAACCTTTCGAAAATGTAATAATGTGATAATCAGAAAGAAAATGAAATCTGCAAGTAACCAGTTAAGAAAAACGTGCATTATATATTATACTGACAGAATATGTTTCCAAGTCCTTAGAAATCAAATTCTTCACTAATTCAAACCTTCTGGGCGAGGAGTAGGCTAGTGCATTCATTAATGCTGGGCAAAAAATCACCATACAGCTGCCAAAAGTTGCCGTCCACGTCAAATGCAAACAAAAGAAGGCAGGCTAGTCTCAAATCCCAATCCGTCTGTAATCAATAAAACTAATTGAATATTACAATCACTTAAAATTATGACATATTCTGACGATTAAATATGCAGAACAATGCTAAAGAGCCAGAATGAGCATGAAGCTTTACAATCGGAGATAGGAAAATAAATGAACGAAGGAGCACAAAGGACGCCCCCCCCCCCCCCTAAAAGAACAACCCACCAACCCAAATAATAATAATAATAAACACAACATCATAATTTAAAACTTTTGAAATAATATAACATAAATATGTGTTTGACTGAAAGAGGAAATATATATTTTGAAGAGAACATGAAGTTACCAACACATGATTATTTATATTGTAATTGGGAAAACTGAAAAAGCATAAGAGCAAGAAAGCTCCATCTAATTATAGAGCGTACATGTCTTCATTTCCCATTCTTTCCTACTAGTCTACTACTGAAAGAATTAACAAGGTTCCACGTCAAGGGTAAAGGATATATATCGCGAAGGTTGGAGGAATTTATTCATAATTCAGTGGAGTGTTTAGTCAGACTTCGATTTTAGAAAACACAACGCCTAACATTCTTATGAAATTCTGGCGGTACCGCTAATGTTCAGATAGTCTGATGTACTGGAAAGCAAGATATAGCTCAATATTGCATTTCTATGATGAATATGAGAGATATAATTCTGAATAGAAGAACATTAATATAACTTACCTCAGGGTTTGTTGAGTTGATTATATCAAATATTGGATGACCCACTGGTACTATGTCTGGGAAAAACATCCACGGAAGCTTTTGACTTATGGTCAACATCAACTCTAGTGGTATTTCCATAATCATCTGAAATATATCCAAGATTTACACCAGTTTCTTAATTAGTTTCAAACAAAGAGATCATTTATGGTATGCCAAAAAGAAAGTTCTGGTAATTGCAGTATTCTGGGTTTCAGCATTCTATCTGATGACAAAAAAGCATCCCACACATACTCTTTACATGTGGGAAGTAAAGCTTATATTGGTACTACACAAACATGTGTCTGGATGGCATATTCATACAGCAAGATGCACGAAGCATCGCAATGGAATGATGTGGTCTGATAATTGAACAAATGATCCATTTGAACCAAGATGGTGGTTCACAATGCTCTTTTCTCATGCTAATATAGAATTTCCTTTATGTTGCTATATACATGCACATGTATGTGCATGGATTTGTTCTGTTTTGTGACTGCTATATTAAATCAGTAAAAGAGGATTGATTAATCTTGATTGAGAAGTCAGATGCCATTGACCAAGGATGGTAAGGAAATCCAGTTAGCATTATACTCAGCTAAACTACAATCATTGACACATAAAGCACTTCTTTCAAATCTACCATTAAAGGTGTGCTAATATAGAATTTCCCTACATGCTGCTACATAGCATGCACATGTATGTGCATGGATTTGTTCTGTTTTGTGACCGCTAGATTAAATCACTAAAAATGCAAAAGGATTGAATCTTCTGATTGAGAAGTCAGATGCCATTGACCAAGGATGGTAAAGGAAATCCAGTTAGCATTATACTCAGCTAAACTACTGAATTGCAAACTTAACCTTTGAGACATAAAAGAAACTTTTAAATCTACCGTTAAAGGTGTGCTTGTATAGAATTTCCCTACATGCTACTACAAAACAAGCGCGTGTAATGGTAGCATGGAATTTCGTTCTGTTTTGTGACGCCATTGACTAAGGTTGGTAAGGAAATCCAGTTATCACTATTGATAGGGATCATTATACCCGATTCTATTCCACAAGGAATTGGCATCGTATATCTCATTGAGATATCAACAGCAATGTTACAGAAGGCGCTAGGCGAACTAGGCATTTGAGCGCGCGCCTAGTGTATAGACACCTAAGCGTATGTCTAGGCGGCGCCTAGGCGTTTGGCTATTTTTTATAATAATTGATAAAAATATATATTAAATTCTTATAAATTTGTAAAAAAATAGATAGCAATCCTAGATCCACAATAAACCATGCATACTTAAATGCTAAATAGCCAAAATAATAATTAACAATGTTATAGAAAGCGCTAGGAGGCCTAGGTGTTGCGCCCGTGACCTAGAAACTAGGAGATTTTATTTTTTATTTTTTAATTATAATAATTGATAGTAAATGTTAATGTTATAGAAAGTTTAGGTGCCAAATTGGTGTCTAGGCGGATTTCTTTCTTTATTTAAGTGGTGGTCGAGGATGTTTTGTTGAAGGTCGGAGGAGGTAGTGAAGGTGTTCATATTTGGAGGTTAAACGAGTTTGAAGGTTATTAGAGGCCATGGAGGCTGCAACACAGAAAATCACGATCAAAACCTAAAGAATGCAGTCCATGTAAGCAAACAATGCTCCCCTAAACACTTCCAAAACCTAGGTGGGCAGCCTAAGTACCGTCTAGGCGCTAGACGCTAATTAAGCGGCCAAGGTACCATCTAGGACTAAGCAGACGCCTAAGCGGACTAGGCAGACGCCTAAGCGGACTAGGCGGGGACTTTTTAAAACAGTGATCATCAGATTCTATTCAATTTGAGATAAGGGCTAATCTCACTTAGTTATTGTTAGGATAAGAATAAAGTTATTGGTAGAATTGAGATTGTTAAGATTTGATTTGTTTAGAGAGAAGCATTTACATGTTTTTAGATAAGATTTGATTTGTTTAGAGATAAGATTTGATTTGCTTTTAGATAAGATTTGAGTTATCTTCAACTCTCTATAAAAGGGAGGAACTTTTATGTAATAGTCAGTGAATTTTGAATGAGAATTATTGATCAAAGAGATTTCAGGAGTGATTCCAATTGTGTTTCTTTTTTAAGCTTCACGTAAACAGTATTGTGAACAGTGTCGTGAACAGCATCTTGTGGACAGTGTCGTGAACAGTTGATACAGGTGTATCTTCTCTTCGGAACTTAGCGATCCTCATGGGAGCTTGAGGATAGATGAATCTCATGGTAACTTAAGAATACAGGAGTAAAACAACACAGTGGAACGCAGGTTGAAGTATGGAACGAGACGGCGAATCGAAGAATCAAAGCATTCAATTTTTAACCCGTGAGTCGACTCATACATGTACATGAGTCGACTCATCAGGTTGAGTCGACTCATCCCTGTCATGAGTCGACTCACGAAACCCAGCCGTTTTGTCGAAAGTTTCTAACGAGTCGACTCACCTCATCATGAGTCGACTCACTTGGCATGAGTCGACTCATACATGTTTATGAGTCGACTCATCGTCGGTTTCTTGGTTCGTTTGGTTTTCTGTTTACACGAATTCCTATAGAGTTTGGGCTTGGTTATTTACCACTTTGTCATCCACGTTGTTATACCTATATAAGGGATTGTTTTAGGGTTTTAAAGAGAAAGGAGAAAGCAATCAAGAGAGATTAGATTGTATTTGAGAATTGAGAGAGATTATTCTTTAATTCTAGTGAGATTGTGAGAGATTGTAAACTATTTTATTCTCATAATCTAGAGAAGGTATTTTCCTTTGCCACCACTGAATTGTCCTTGTGTTTTTGTTATTTTCTTCTCAACCCACCTTTGATAATTTCGCGATCAAATATGCTCACACGACGACTCGTATCAAGTTGGTATCAGAGCGATCAGATCCTGTGAAGGGGGCATCCTGTGTATGGTCCTGATTCGATCGTAATACAAGAAGCTACGCGAGATCCTTATTTCATTAGAAGGAGTCCAGAAATTAAGGAAGAAGAAGATGACTAAAGGAGATAGTTCAGCGAGGCTAGATGTATTGGAGAAATAGATGGAGACAATGAGTTCGACTCTCACACAACTCGTCAATATCTTCTAAGAAAAGGACAAAAAGGAGGAATCTTCTTCGAAATGTAACAAGAAACTTATGGAGTCCGATGGAGAAGGCGAGGAATCTGATTCTGATAGGGAGGCCGAGATTGTCAAAACTGTTTCGCATCAAGGGGGTAAGGGTTCTTACCAGAATTTGAAGATAGACTTCAAGGTAGAGATTTATGTTTATAGTAGGAGTGTCAACGCCGAGAGGCTTGATGATTGGATCGAGCGGATGGAGACGTATTTTACCCTCTACGGATATTCATCCAAGGAGAAGCTTGTGTTCGCGACTTTGAAGCTTTCGGGACATGCATTGACATGGTGAAAATCCTATTGTAAGCAGGAACGGAAGACGATATCGTAGAACAAATTCAAGGAGCTACTGAGGAAGCAGTTCTACCTAATAGAGTTGCTTGAGGAGCGTTGGTACAAGTGGTACGGCTTGCGCTAAAGATTCAATCAGTCCGTTCAAGAGTACACGACGGAGTTCCAACAGCATGCGATGATTCTAAACGTCGCGACGGACGAATATTCCATCTTCATGAAGTACATGACGGGTCTGAATGAATATATCCGAAAGGAGATGATGTTGTTCACAGTCAAGTTCGTGGTAGAAGCGAGTGTGAAAGCCATTGCCATTAAAGACAGGCAAAAGAAGGGCAACGAAACGAAGGGAGACTCCAAACAGACGGGAGGCACGTCTAGTAGCTCTCAGCCTAAGGAAGAGAAGAAGGGTGATTCAGAGAAGGTAGGATTGACATGCAATCACTACAAACAGACAGGACACGTAGCTGATCGTTACTGGGAGAATTATCCTCATCTGAAGTCAAAAGGATTGAAGAAAAAGAAGGAGAAGAAGGCATATGTAGTAGCTCAGGGTCCGAAGAAAGTTCCTGGGATGACGAACCCAATAGCAGTCTCAACCTTATGACGGGAAAGCAGACCACGACTGAGGACGAAGACCCGAGGGAGCAGCTCTTTGTTTTAAAATTACAGATCAAGACCAGCTTGGTTGATGTCATAGTGAATCTAAGGAGCCAGAAGAATTTGAAATCCGAGGCCTTAATTCAGAAGCTGAGATTGAAGACGGTTAAACATCCGAAACCCTATCTTTTAGGGTGGATTCAGAAGAAGGCGGGATTGAGTGTGGTCAACCAATGCACTTTCAGATTTACACTCCACGAGTCGTATATTGACGAGGTCACATGCGACGTCGTTCTGTTGGATGTTTGCTAAGTAATATTGGGCAATCCTTATTTATGGGATAGGTTTGCGGTCTACGATAGGCGAGCCCAGAAATATACATTCACCAAAGATGATGAGCAATTCATCTTTCGTTCGGCATCTCTTCCACAGGAGACGAGTTTGGTGACAGTGACTCAGGCGAAGAGGCTAGTGAATGCGAGCAAGAGGTTTGTATTGTTAGTAATTAGGTCTTGTAAGGAGCAGCTGAGTAGGATGTGCTTGGCTACCTTGAGCAAGTTTCAGAAGGGAGATCTTGAGAGGTTGAAGGCTAAGTATATGGACTTGTTTTTTGAGATCACGGGACTACCACCACGACGGGGTGTGGAGCATGAGATTATGTTGACCAACGAAGGTTCTTTGTCGAATATAGGTCTATACCGCACATCTATAGAGGAGTCTGAGGAGATCAAGAGGCAGGTTCAGGGGCTTTTGGAGATAGGAGTAATTGTGCCAAGTTGTTCCCCTTGCGGGTCACATGTGTTGTTGGTGCCCAAAAAGGATGAAGGCTGACACATGTGCGTGGATTACGGGGAGCTCAACAAGATAACCATCAAGAATCGATACCATTATTTCGGATTGATGATCTTATGGACCAGTTGAAAGGAGCGAGGTTTTTCACGAAGCTGGATTTGAAATCTAGTTACCATCAGGTGAGGATTCAGGAGGATGACACTTGGAAGACTGCGTTCAAGACCAAGCAGGGTTGTTCGAGTGGTTGGTGATGCTGTTTGGATTGTGCAATGCTCCGGCTACCTTTATGAGACTTATGAATGATTTTATGCGACCCTTTATAGAGGATTTTGTGATAGTTTATCTCGATGATATCTTGGTGTACAGCAGGACCTGGGAGGAGCATCTTGTTCATGTCGAGAAGGTGTTTGAAGTGCTGCAGAACGGACAGCTGAAGTTTAACGGGAAGAAGTACGAATTCGGGAAGGACGAGTTGGTGTATCTCGGGTTTATCATGGGGAAAGGCCAGCGGAGGATAGATCCAGGCAAGGTGACAGTGATCACGAAGTGGCCGACACCTAGGACAGCGACGGAGGTGAGAAGCTTCATAGGGGCTTGTCAGTATTTGTACAAGTTCATTCGACATTTCTCAACTTATGCGGCACATTTGCATAGCCTTACGAAGGCGAAGGTTTAGTTTGAGTGGGGGAGGACGCATGAGCAAGCTTTTCAGTTATTAAAGAGGAAGATCTCGGAGGCACCGGTATTGACATTGTCGAATTTATAGAGGACCTTCGAGGTAGAGACCGACGCTTCTAGTTATGTTATGGACGCTGTGTTGATTCAGGATGAGAAACCGGTGGAGTACCATTCAGAAATGTTTACGGGTGCTATTCAGAACTATCCCACCTACGACAAGGAGTTTTATGTACTTTATCAAGCAATCAAGTATTAACGGGTGTATTTGTTGGGAAATGAGGTGGTTGTGCATTCAGATCACAAGCATCTCAAGACTTAGGATGATAGCTTACCATATCTTCAGTTTGTATTTAATCGGGCTATTCATAGATCTTCGGGAAAATCACCGTTTGAGACTTGTTATAGGTTTTTACCTCCGAGTCCGTTTGATCTCTTGTTTTCCAGTGAAGCTACGGTCGACGGCAAGGAAGGGAGTGAGAGACAACATGCTCAGCGATTTCTGAAGAAGATTGCACATATTCATGCCACGGTTGAAGCTCAATTGAAGAAATCACAAACCAAGTACAAGGCGAAGCATGATCAACATTGAGTTCCTTGTAACTTTGGCATAGGCGACATGGTATGACAGAAATTGAGTAAGGAGATGCTAAAAGGAGAAGGGAAGAAGTTGAAACCTATACGTTATGGTCCGTTTCGAATTCTCGATCAGATTGGTGACAACGCCTTTAGGTTGGATTTACCACCTTACTTAGGCATGTATTCGGTGATCAATGCCGAGTATTTGAAGTTGTTCGAACCTCCATTGCTGGATGATGAAGGTGACGACAATGTGATCTTGCCGCATGTTGAAGACTTATAGTTTGATAGAGAGAAGCCGTTGAAGGAAGATTGTATTTTAGAGCGGAAGACGACCATGACGAGGTGGGGGACGAAGGAATCGTTTCTCATTAGACGTCAATGTTAGGTTCCTAGCAAGGCTAAGTGGTTCAACAGGGAAGGAAGAGCTCGCGAGTTTCCTCAGCTGAAGTTCTAACTTGAACGAGACTTCAAGTTCCTAAAAGGGAGAGCCATGATACGGGTGTATATTCTCTTCGGAACTTAACGATCCTCATGGGAGCTTGAGGATAGATAATTCTCATGGTAACTTAAGAATAGAGGGGTAAAACAACACAGTAGGACACAAGTTGAAGCGTAGAACGAGACGGCTAATCGAAGAATCAAAGCATCTAGTTTTCAGCCCGTGAGATGACTCATACATGTACATGAGTCGACTCATCAGGTTGAGTCGACTCATCAGGTTGAGTCGACTCATCAGGTTGAGTCGACTCATCAGGTTGAGTCGACTCATCAGGTTGAGTCGACTCATCAGGTTGAGTCGACTCATCAGGTTGAGTCGACTCATGTCTGTCACGAGTCAACTCACGAAACCTAGCCGTTTTGTTCAAAGTTTCTAAAGAGTCGACTCAACTCATCATGAGTCGACTCAACTCATCATGAGTCGACTCACTCATCATGAGTCGACTCATGCATGTTTATGAGTCGACTCATCGACGGTTTCCTAATTCGTTTGGGTTACTGTTTGCACGAATTCCTGTGGGGTTTGGGCTTGGTTATTTACCACTTTGTCATCCACATTGTTACACCTATATAAAGGATTGTTTTAGAGTTTTAAAGAGAAAGGAGAAAGCAATCAAGAAAGATTAGATTGTATTTGAGAATTGAGAGAGATTATTCTTCAATTCTAGTGAGATTGTGAGAGATAACTATTTTATTCTCATAATCTAGAGAATGTATTTTCCTTCGCAACCACTGAATTGTCCTTGTGTTCTTGTTATTTTCTTCTCAACCCATATTTGATAATTCTGCGATCAAAGGTGCTCGCACGGCGACTCGTATCAACAGCGACAACAATGCCTCATGAACAGTTCCATGAACAGTGTTCGTGTTCTCGACGTTGCAACCTCCTTCATAAATTTGATCCCTGCAGAATTCCACAATGACAAAGAACTACAATACTCAGATCTAAGCCCTTATTCCCATTTAATTAGATTGCTTATATTGTGGTTAACTAGAACTGTTGCATCCTTGATCTTATATTTGAACTAACCCTTTTATTTTGAAACTCTTTCATAGGATCTAACTAATAGGAATTTGACTCTAATGCTGAGTACTCAATTATGATTTGTGGATTGTGCTCGACGTTTCACACCTCAGGTTGATCATGAACGCATTCCTTATTTGCTATAGTTTTCGCATCATTTATTACTATTAGTTGTTAGTTCATTTTGTTTGATATTTAAAGTTATTTTCCGCTGCAATTCTAGTGTGAGTTTGCATTTATACTACATATTAGTTTGTTTAATCACCATTCATAGAATTTGATAGATCGTCCTATGCCAATTATACCTAGCTAAACTACTGAATTGCAAATTTAACCATTGAGGCATAAACCACTTCTTTTAAATACACCTTTAAAGGTGTGCTAGTTAGGAGCAAAGACAAAATTTGAACCACAAGTTAACTATTCGATGCCAAATTCTTTTAGTAGCAGCACATGATTTGTCTAAGTCTACACTATTACCAAAATATTGATCTTAACAAGGGAGATTGCTAAATTGGGCCTAGGACAACAGACTACCCAAATGCATGCAGTAAAAAGTGTCACGAGTTATTCCATGTAAAAACCAAAAACCATTCAATGCATATTTATGAATCTATAAGAAGGAACTAAAATGAAGGATAACTAGCTGTTCTGAAATTATGTTAATGACCAGGCTTTCCACATCCGGCACACAGAATTAAAGCACGATCACATTTGTTTATTAAACTAATGCTACAGAGCTTTGGCTGCTAAATACTCAAAAATATCAAAAACTATTTTTTAAATGAAACATGTCATAATTCAACACAACACGCAACTATTTTTTAAATGAACTGAGGCAAATGCATAAAGTAGGTGCTATGACACCATATTTTTAAGCTACAATCTGAACCAAAAAGCTTTAACTGTTGGCATGCAAACATATATATCAAGTAGATTATCATGATAAAAGATCACAATTAAGTGTAAAACATACAAATTTATAATTCTCAGGTGCCTATTTAACAACTAAGAAGCAAGAACTATACCCGCTACACAAAAATTCAATATTTAAACTAAAAGAAATGTGCAAAATTTAAAATAAAAAGACTCACCCTGGCTCTTCTTAGAGGCTCCACGTCTTTTGATGCGTACACTCCAAACCCATTTGGTCCTTCCATGAACTCCACCCCATATGCTCTCACACCCCTCACATACCCAATCTTGTAGAAATCAGGATCAGCTGATTCTAACTGCCAGAATAACCCAAAGTTGCATTATGTTAGTACAATGAATTAAGCTAGGTACAAAAAGTTTGTTTCCTTCTTTTTTCTCTTTTCTCTGTCAAATTTTGAACATTAGAGCAGAGAGAAACTAGCAAACAGCTAAACGAAAATTTTTAACTGCACGCTTGTTTTATTTTGAACAACATTAATTCATGTGTAAGAGCACGATAATAAAACAGTAAAAATGTGTGCTTGAACTGCTTCCTTCTTCAATTAAAGTGAGAAAGTATAGATTAAGAGGTAATACTAGAAACAAATCAAGGCTGTATAAGTCCTAATTTATTACCACAATTTTGTACGTTAAATTAGGGTAAATAGCAGATAACTTCCTGAGTGATATTTTGGGAAGGATGAATTGTGGAATGGGGTCATCTGCAATTTACCCATTAAATCACTAAAACAAGTTCATAAGGTTACAAACTTCAAATCTAAGAACCATATAAAAACTGGGTTTTCAATAAAGTTACAAACTTTGTACCTCAGAAGAAGAGATTTCCACTTGGGAAGGATTGAATAGCCTGAATTCGCTGAGAGAAGTGTCTAAAGAAGGAGAGGAAGTAACCCTAATCGGAAAGGTTCGAACTTTATCCCTCTTTTGAATTGGGTAAGAGGGGAAAAGAGAGGGAGACAACGGGAGAGCAAAGGCCATTGTTTTTTAAGAGCAGAGTTCTGTAGAGAGAGAGAGAGAGAGAATATGAACGTTATCCTTTAGCAGCAGTGGCGTTTTGAACAGGATGGGCTTCAAACTAGTAGCAACCAATTTTTGACCCGATACCCGGATCCGATTGCAGCTGGGCGGGGAAGAGTTGAAAAGTTTTAGCCGTTAATTGCTAAAATGGACCCAACTTTTTTAAGCTCAAAATTTAGCAGTTAGTTATCAAGAAAATTTTCAAAATTTAGCTGTTAGTTAAATCACTAAAAATAAGCTTTAAAATAAGATATTTATCTTAAGCTTGACATGTAAATCTTAAATCTTAAATTTTCTTTCTTTCTTTT